AGACCGTTCAAGGTGCTCACTACCAGGAAACTCCTCGCGCAGGTGCGCCAGGGGGACTGGTTCGTCTCTCTAGACCTGAAAGACGCCTATTTTCAGATCCAGATAAATCCCCGTCACAGGCCATTCTTACGTTTCGCCTTCGAGGGTCATGTCTATCAATACGCCGTTCTCCCGTTCGGCTTATCCCTGGCGCCCCGTACATTCACGAAGTGCATGGATACGGCGCTCGCCCCCCTGCGGAGCCAGGGGCTGCGTATATTGAATTATCTGGACGACTGGCTGATTTTGGCCCAATCACAGACGGAGCTTCTGTCGCACCGCGCAGTTCTCCTCGACCATCTGAGAACGCTGGGCCTCTCTGTCAACTGGACAAAGAGCTCCCTTCAACCCAGTCAATCGATTTCCTTTCTAGGAATAGATTTGAACTCGGTCACGATGACGGCTCGCCTGTCCACACAGCGCGCGCACAGTGTTCAGCGACTGGCCGCCTCGTTTCAGATGGGCACCCGCACACCTCTGAAAACTTTTCAGAGGATGCTGGGTTACATGGCCTCAGCCTCCGCTGTGCTTCAGCTGGGCCTTCTGCACATGCGCCCGCTTCAGCTTTGGTTAAACAGCCGTGTACCCCACCGCGCGTGGAACACGGGCCGCCAGCTGATCAGAGTTACGCAGACATGTCTCACGGCGCTGCAGCCATGGACAGTAGCAGAATGGTTTCGGCAGGGCGTCACGATGGGGACCTTTTCCCGCCGAAAAGTCATCTCGACAGATGCATCCAACACGGGTTGGGGTGCAGTCTGCGAGGGCTCACCGGCCTTCGGCCATTGGTCGACACAGGAAAGCCCCTTACACATAAACTGTCTGGAAATGCTTGCGGTCGAGAACGCGCTCTCGCGCTTCCTCCCGCTCATTCGGGGACACCACGTCCTGATCCGTTCGGACAACATGGCTGTGGTCTCCTATCTCAACCGTCAGGGCGGTGTCAGATCCAGGAATCTCTTCCTACTGACACACCGCATTTTAGTTTGGTCTCAGAGCCGCCTGCTCTCGCTCAGAGCGACGCATGTGCCGGGCCATCTGAACGACGGTCCAGACATACTGTCCAGGAACCTCATCTCCTCAGGAGAATGGTCCCTGAACACACAAACGGTCCAAATACTGTGGCGGCTATTCGGCAGAGCAGAAGTGGACCCTCTTCGCGTCAGAAGAGAACGCTCACTGCCCAATATTTTTTTCAAGGAGCGAGGACGCGCTAGCCCAGGAATGGCCTCGCCGCCCGCTCTATGCATTCCCTCCGATCGCTCTGCTACCACAGGTAATTCAGAGGATCAGGGACACACGCCACTCGGTGCTCCTCATAGCCCCGCGTTGGGAGAGTCAGAATTGGGTTCCGGAGCTCGCTCAGCTGTCACAGACAGCCCCGTGGCCCATCCCAGTCAGAGCAGATCTCCTCTCTCAAGCTCGCGGCACGATCTGGCACCCCCATCCACGGCGCTGGGCGCTACATGCATGGGTGATCAACGACTATTCGTCGATTTGCCAGAGGGAGTAAGAAACACTATCATCCAGGCTAGAGCACCTTCCACGAGAAGGCTCTATGCGTCTAAATGGTCTGTGTTCTCAAAATGGTGCACCGACAAACATCTGGACCCACGGTCATGCGAGGTGCCGTCTTTGCTTGTTTTCCTTCAAGAGATGCTGGACAAGGGCAGGTCCCCCTCCACTCTCAAGGTTTACGTGGCAGCCGTCGCGGCGTTCTCTGAACCCCGACGCGCTCAGTCTCTGGGCAAAGACGAGTTAGTCATCCGCTTCCTCAGGGGAGCTAAGAGGATGAACCCTCCGCGCCCCCCTTCGGTTCCTATCTGGGATCTTTCTATAGTTCTCGAAGCTATGAAAGCACCCCCGTTTGAACCGCTCGAGTCTGTGGACCTAAAATACCTCTCGCTCAAAACCGTTTTTCTGACGGCTCTGTCCTCAGTAAAACGCGTGGGGGATCTTCACGCGCTCTCATCCAGCGCCGCGTGTCTTGAGTTTGGACCGAATGATTCTGTTGTCATTCTCAAACCTAGGCATGGCTATGTCCCGAAGGCGATTGGTACCCCGTTCAGGGCTCAGATTATTTCCCTATCGGCTCTGCCTTCATCCGATAGTGAGCGCGACGCCAATCTCCTCTGCCCGGTGCGGGCTCTGAGATTGTACACTACGCGCGCTGCCGCGTTCAGACGCGCTGAGCAGCTTTCCGTGTCGTTTGGGGGGCGCACCAAAGGTCTGGCCGCCTCTAAACAGACACTGTCTAGATGGATAGTAGACGCTATCGCCTCTGCTTACGCATCTAAATGCCTGCCCTGCCCTCTGGGCATCAGGGCGCACTCCACTAGAGGCATGGCCTCATCGTGGGCATGGTCCTGTGGAATTTCCATTCATGACATTTGTGTGGCCGCGGGATGGGCCTCCCCGTCCACTTTTGTCAGATTTTACAACTTGGAAGTTCCCGCCTTGCAGGCAAAATTACTAGCTGTCTAACGACCAGCTCCCTAAGAAGCTGCATTACTGGGAGTCCCTCACACAACCGGTTCGCCCCTTGTGCTCTACTTAGATGCTTATGTATATACTTCATGTGCCCGCTCTGCCGGCCTCATATTACATTCACTCCACGTTAAAAATCCCCCGGTATCACCCTGGGATTCATGAGTGGATTCATAGCGCGCACGGCGTTGACCAGGTGTTCCCGCAGCGTAAGCTAGCTTACGCAATACGAGAGAACCTCTCGTAAGAGAACGAATCGGTTACCTAACGTAACCTCGGTTCTCTCTAGAAGAGGGAACGAGTATTGCGTTCCCGGCCGTGCTTGCGCTACTAGCGTTTCGCTTCACGCTGAAATAAATCAACATATAAGCCTGGGAGAGACTGTTATATACACCATAGCCACGCCCATTCTGGCGGGCCATGATGCAATGAGCGCGCGGGCGCTTCTCATTGGCAGCGGGTTCAGCCCCGCTCTCCCATAGGCTTAAGCAGTTCTCTCTGAGCGAACCAATGAGCTGCTAGCTAGCCTGCTCTAGGTCTGCCGCAGAGGAACTGCGTTGTCAATGGATACAAATTATGAAATAATTTTTTGGCTTCAAACTCTCAGCAAAGATGAATCTTTCCTGCAGCGTAAGCTAGCTTACGCAATACTCTTTCCCTCTTCTAGAGAGAACCGAGGTTACGTTAGGTAACCGATTCGTTCTCTCGCATGCGTCCTGGAAATCTCTTGAACTCTCGTCTCAGGCCCACAAGGAAGCAATGGAATAGTCGAATAAAGTCGTTATTTTTGTTTGTTTCCGCACAAAAAGTATTCTCGTCGCTTGATAAAGTTATAGTGGAGCCACTGTAGGCACATGAAATATATAAACATTTTCTTCAATGACTTTCTGGGCCGTCAAGTTTCACTCCCTTAGGAAGCCTGTAGCAGTGATCCACCTCTCAGATTTAATCAAAAATATCTTCATTTGTGCTCCGAAGATGAACGAAGGTCTTACGGGGTTGGTAGCATGAGGGTGAGTAATTAATGACTTAATTTTCATTTTTGGGTGAACTATCCCTTTAAGGAAACAATCCATTTTCCATTCTTGAATGTTAGATGAACGTTTAATGTATAAATGTTTGTATGCTAACGCTTTGAGAGCATTATTAAAGGCCAGATAAAGAACGAACGTTCTATTAACGTTACTGGAAAAGAACGTTTGTGCATAAGATGAGTTTGAGAGAACTTGCCAGAATAATAGGAAAGTTCTGACAACGTACCCTTATCTGCATTGGTGATACATAAAAATGTACGGTTATACACTTTATTTTAAGGTGTCCTTGTTACAGTGTAATTAGGCTTTACATTACTGAGTAATATTAATTAGCCTACTACATGTATTTACTATATAGGATTAGGGTTAGGATTAGGTTTGGTTAGGGTTAGTTGCATGTAATTATGCATAATGTATAGAAATGACTAGCCTATAGAAACTACATGTATGTTTAACAAGGACACTGTAAAATAAAGTGTTACTAAATTTACTTACTGAACTTCTTAAAAAATACATGCAGGTTTTATGTTTTAAAAAAAAAGTAAATACAAGACCTATTTTTGTTTTGTGCCTCTTCTTTTTTTACAGTAACTCTAGCCTAAATGTTGTACATGTTGAATACTTTGACGTGTAGGTCAAAGTCTTTAAATGGCAAGGCACAATGATAATGATATATAGGCAGGCCTTATATAGCCAATGCATTTTAATTTCGGCTCCAAAAAATATTCCACAACTTTAAAGCACAAGTTAGAGGTTTAACTTCCAGTGGTTTTACCATGAGACCCATGTCTAACTAAAATAAATTAGAATGACAAGCAGTTTTAAACACATCAATATTCAGAATTGGGATTTTGGCCTGTCCCTTAAAATTAACAATTATTTGTTGAAGAAAAAGAATAAATAGACCCTGTTTTGTTCCTTATTTGTGGGAATCATTTAATTTAATATTTAAAGAAATCAGTGGCGAATTAAGACTCTTTGGTGACAACTGATTTTTAACACAAAAACATTTCACAAAAATATGTTTGTTAGGTTTAAAATTCGAAACTGATTTCATATCCATTTACACCAGCTGGTTGAAGGTATTTTTGAGAAAAGTTATTATAGAGAAAATTGTTCAGCATATTTTGTGTGCAGATACCACTCCTGTTTTTAATGCATTTAAATAAATATTTACACATTTTACGTATGATTTAATACTTTTCGGGGAGTCTGCATATGCAATTCATCACTATTGCCCTTTATTTACATGTCTTAAATGTGTAGGTGCATTAACAACACACTTTACGGTAATACCCACTTCGAGTCAGCTTGAAACTTGCCTGACTGAAATGCACAAGCTGCAACCATTTCTGTTTTATCTGCTCTTGTTTTTTTTTTCTTTTCTTTTTTTTTTCTTTTTCTTTTTTTCTCTAAATTAGCTAAATATGATCCAATTCTATTAAATGTAACACTAGTTGATTGAAAAAGGGCAAATTGAGAGAGACGGAGAAGAGAGGGCCATCGAACAGATGACGTGTTACAGCAGGTCCTTGCATCTTCCGGGTCGGAGTAAACAGTGTGCGGTCTTCTCATACAAATCAGAAAAATGTAAGTAGTAAAGCCTTAATATCATATAACAACACTTTATTTTAATTATACGGTGTATTTCACCTTTAAATAAACTCCGTGAATATGTGTCTGTGTCTGCATTAGGTCGAAAGTAACGTTTAAAATCACGCTGACGTCGGACCCTCGGTTACCATATAAAGTGTGAGTGACACATCATTTAACACATGACACACACCATCAACATTACTATTCCTTTTTGAATTGTTTCATTAGCCCTGATTTTCTTCATTTTCTTGATTCTAATGGGAGCGTATATTATTATGTTCCGCAGCTCTGCTGTTTGAGGTTTTTTAATCTTGATTGCTTAATTCTATAATATATTAATTTATTCATTCATTCATTTCTTCGTTAAATAAGTAATTCATAGAATAATGGCCCAACTGGCCTCTATATATTTGAAAAATGATTATATTTTATAATTATTTTTATATATTTATATTATAATATATATTATAATTATTAAATTAATATTTAGTTTTAGCACAACTATCAACTGAGGAATGTAAGACAGTCCTTTAAGGCAAAATAAAATAGGTATAACCCGTTGATTAATCATAGTTTTTTTTTTTCTGATTCATCAGTACATTAAGACAGTTGTTTTGTATTACAAGTTTTCTGAAATGTTATAATTAATTAATGCACTCACGAGACACTAATTTGCATGCTTTTTCAGAACATAAATCAGAACATTAGATACAGCCAGGCTCAAAATTGTTTCATTTTGTTGATATATTAAAGTTTTTCAGAGGGGATTTTGGATAATATTCCCACTCTGTAAATTAGAAAAATATTACCATATTTTTAGGAAAAAAATATATTAAATAAATCAAGTGAAGAATATATACATATAAACCCCTTTGTAAAAACCTCAGAATATAGATAGAAATACATTTGGTGAATGTAAATGGTAATAAAGTGTAGATATCTGGCTCAAAAAGGTGTATTCAATTCAAATCTGCAGATGCAAATAGTTAATGTGTAATAAAATTAGTATAGCCTAAGTCTTAAATGTGTGTTTTGGATATGTTCTTTCCACTAGTCTGTATGAAGACATGTTATGGAAGCAAAATAGCCCAAAACCTCAAAATTGATCAGTGTCTTGCCTTATGACAAGCTGTTCTTAGTCTGTTTGCCATATTGATTGCAATTAATGTAATAGGGCTATGGTGGTAATCTATAAATGTCACAGACACTGTGTCTGATTGGTGGGCAGACACACTGACACTTGTGAGAGTGGTCTGTTAAGTGCCATTCAATTTCAAACTGACTGATTTACCAGCTGAGCTCAGTCTTGAGCACCTGCAATGCTGATGCACCGGCCAGTTTGGATGATATTTTTTACATGCAATGTTTTGAAAATGATCTCCTCGAGTGACAAGCGACCAGACATGAGCTGATAAAGATGACCAGGCAGAGAATAATTTGTTTTAAAACCAAATTAGACAGTAATATGTGTAATATGCTACTGTTGTGCATTATTTCTGGACAACACATTCTTTATGGTAACACTTTCTTTACAGGGTAGTTTTTTTTCTTCATTGTTACACAAAGATTCATCTGCATACTTGTATTTCAGATTAAGTGTACCCGAGAGCACGCCGTTCACTGCAGTTTTGAAATTTGCAGCAGAAGAGGTGAGTTGATTCATTGTCTGTTAAAAAATATAAAAAAAATATAATTTTTGGTGAAGTTGTTCACAGTTCTATTGCAACCTCATTTAAATTTTTGACAGATCTGCTGAGGTGTAGCACTATGTCTTTGCTTTAAAGCTTAGGTGCTTTTGTCTGACATTAGTTTCATATTTTATTTAAAACATGATCAAAATAATCTGCATGATATTGATGTTGATCTTCGACAATGGTTGTATTCCGACTGCCTTTCTGCTCAATTCTGGGAAATCATTGATTAAAATGGTCTATATCCCATAGCATGGATCATGATGTGAACTCCAATAGCTTTAATACTTTCTTTTTTTAGTCTGATTTATCTTTTTTGAGACACACTGCTCATCTCTGTCACAGCCTCGTTAAAATCTGAACATGATCATTGCAGAATTAGATAATCAAGTTGATTACCAATGTTAGTTTGACAACAGAAATTTCATTAGTAGGTATATATCAATATATGTTTTAGGGCTGCACGATTTGAGGAAAATGTCATATTGCGATTAATGAGGTCAATATTGCGATTGCGATATGCGATTGCGATATATAATAAACAAATGGTTTCATGAGTCAACTTGCTTGGTTCTAAAGTAAAATGCACACACAGGTTAGTGATCATTCTGTGTATTAATGTGTATTTCTCAACTCAAACTAGCAACAACAACTAAATGATTGATAACACCTATAATGGTAAATAAACCATTGATGTCTGGATAAAAATAACGACACTCCCCACATTTTAAACGTTAATTATAGCCATCCAACATTACAGTGATTCCATCAATACAATTAAAAGGTATCAACTTTTAAAATATTTATTAGGCTTAAAAAAAAATAACAGCTTTTAAATTAAGTGAAATTCAAACAATCCTCACATAAACCCATAATAAATGCCATATTTACCTGTGCCCTTCCTGTCTTAACAGGTAGGATTGAGGATTTATATACAGATTTATATACAGAAATTGAATAAAGTTATCAAACAGTCTGCGCTGCATGAATTATAAATTATATATTGACTAATCCTTATTAAAGCTACAAAACTTCTTTAGTCAAGAGCAGTGAGTAATTTTCTGTTCCCTTCGTTCTTTGATTAACTTTACTGGCGGAACGCTTTATTCGCTGCTGGCCCTTTAAGAGCAGCCGTTGCTGAGACGCGAATCTCACACGCGCCTCATTCTCTCACAAGCACAACTCTTTTCGTCCATCATAAGACTGCTCTTATGTTATGAAGATAATCGACAAAACGACATTTTGGCATAATTGTGTGTGTTATTGTTCGTTCAAGCTCGAAAGAGAACTGTATTCTGGCACCCGGTCTGTGCATGCGCATTATACATTTTTCTGTGAGTCACATTCAGGACATTCACAGGCAGCGCGCTCTCTTTTGACTTCTTGTCGTGCAAAATGGTTTTAAGGCATTTGCACGAAGAGCGGGATCATGTAACACTAGTCAAATGATGACAAAAAAGAAGAGATGCTGCGTTAATAGCCCTAATTTGTTTATTTCATATAAAATCGCGGCATTTTGCGTTATATAATCGCATAGGTTTGACATCGCGATTACGATTGCGATACGATTAATCGTGCAGCACTAATATTTTTGCAGATTAACCAAATGATGACTGGTATTATAAAGTTATACTATTTAAATAAAAAATGACATAAGAGATTGACCAAAGTTGTTGTTTCCTAATATGATATAGATTTTTATTTTTGCTCTTTATATATCAGTATCAGTGCCATTAAAAAACCCATTTCATTCGAGTACTCGATTCTTTTAAACTTGGCATAGGCATAGATAGAGACCAATTATTTAAACTGGAAAGTAAGGCCTTATCTTTTCAAGCTGATACAGTAATAAATAAATAAATCCTTTGAAATTGGGTAAAGATTTGTCGGAATCCTGTTGGCTGTGTGGTCTGTTTCACGACTGCATTCAGAGCATGACAGAACAACGCTGCAGATTAGCTTAGGTCGTTGCTCCTTTTTTGACATAATGAAATGCCACATCTGACAACCTCATAATAGGAAGATGTAATGCATCAAGTGGAAGCCAGAAAGAATGATAAAGTGATATTGAAAATTATATTTTCAGGTGTTTTTTTTTCACCCTTTCACTAATTATTTTTGTACTCCTGCCTCAGGTGATGGTAAAGTGATGGTTATGGGATCATTGTTTTTATTGTCTCTTTTCCTCCTGACAAAACCGACTGACAAAAAAGAAGGCAAATGAGAAACTGAATAAACCCCCACAAAAATCTGTATTCAAATAATTGAATATGCATTACAGCCTGTCATATTGCTTCCCATCAGTTGTATGCTGTTCAGTATTGTAGAAATAATTTCAGGACACCCAGAAAGTTTTTCATAGCTCCTTCAGAATGATTTTTTTTTTAACTTTGTGACAGTGACAGTTTCTTCAAAGATCAGCTCAGAGAGCTCTTTCCACACAAGTTTTGAAGGCTTCTGTTTTCTAGCACAGACTCTTTAAATCACCTGATGCATTGCAAACACACACTCAAGTTGAATTTGTTCTTATCCCTGCCTGGCAGTGGGACTGTACTGTGCTGTTGTGTCAGACTATCAGCAAGTTGTTGATGGATAAACATAAAACTATTTTTTTCTCTTTGATTCAAAGTTTAAAGTGCCAGCAGCCACCAGTGCCATCATTACAAACGGTAAGTTGTTGATATTATTATTGTCACTATCATAATGCTCATATTTGATCAAATTTTTAAACCAGTGGTTCTCAACCTTTTTGACACCAAGGCCTCCCATTGTCCATAACAATATTCAAAACTCCCTTGGCCCAGTTTTGTCTTAAAAACTGTAGCTAATTTCTGTAAAAAAAAAAAGGAATTACTATAATTATAATTAAAATTAAAATAATAACAAAAAAAAAATCACAAAGTTTTGAGAGCTGAATGATCTTCAGGGATCCCATTCTTTTTAACCAATGAATGTATATGGCTCTTCCAGTTATTTGTGATAAGGATAAGAATTCTTAAAACTATTTCTATTCAATAAAATATTTTAGATCTTGGAATAACTCGAAATATATATGTTCTTTATAAACATGCCCATGGTGATTTAAGATTTTATTAATAATTTACATGACTTTTCCGGGAAAAGAAATCACACTTTTAAAAATCTATCAAGTTTTCCAAGAGCATGGGAACCCTGTTTTTATATATTATATAGGCCTATATATATATATTTTTTTTTTCAAACAGTTGTTGAAAATATAAAAAAAATTGATTTCTAATTGTTTTAGCTTTTTTGTATTTTTTTTTTGTCTTATTTTAAATAATTTGAAGTCATCTTGAGGGTCCTTGGAAGTTTGCTGGGGCCCCTGGTTGGCCCTGCCCTTTTGGTTGAGAACCACTGCCTTAATGCAGAGTTTTAAACTTCACTAAAGTAGCCACCTAGCACCCACCCAGTGCACCCTAACAACCTCATAGCGACACCCTGGCAACCACTCACAACACATTTGAATCACCATTGGGTTGGGTTCTTCGATAACTGCACTAAAAAATAGCACAACTACAGTAGCCTAATTTACAAACAACTGACTCTTATGAACTAGTTATTTTTAGGTTCATTAGAACCAAAATTATTTTAGGTTAAAAATGATTTATTTATTTTAGGCAGTTGTGGCGTAATGGTTAGAGAGTCAGTCTGGTAACCTGAAGATCACGGGTTTGATTCTCAATACTGGCAGGAAATGACTGAGGTGCCCTTGAGCAAATGAATGGCTGCCCACTGCTCTGGGTGTGTGTGTCCGTGGTTTGCAGTGTGTGTGTTCACTACTCACTACCTCACTACTCCCGATGTGTGTGTACCATACCATACTTGGCCTTCACGTCATGTCTTTAATGAATCGGACAAAAAGGCTGGTGAATTCTTCACTAAAACTCACTGAATTCTGTCAGAGCAGATTCAAAATGAACCATTGTGTGTACTTGTATAGCTGTAGTTGGAGACTCCTTAATGCTGCGTCATGAGTAATTATTGAACAAATGCTAAACAGACCGAAAACATAACTCACCTCTCACAACGCATGGCAGTTATTGTAAATGAGATGGTTTGAATTGGGATTGTTCAGCATTTCGTTGCTGTCTGATTCATTGATTTGTTTTTAAGAATGATTGTTTTGTGTATGTATTCACATTGCTGATGTTCTTTGTGATTATGATTTGTGTAGATGGCATCGGAATCAACCCGGCGCAGACAGCAGGTCGGTGTCTCTACTTCACTCGATCAGGGCTGCCCTCTGCAGCAGCATCTAGCTGTAAATTGTTTCGATATATCCAAATATCACACAGGGGTGGAAATAGTGATATTTCTGTTCTTTTTGCCTGTGCAAATGCATGTTTGTTTATTTTGTCGGTGCTTTAATCCACCTTCCATATTTTTTAACTTCCTCTTCCCTGCATTTTCTCATCTTATGAAATGAGATACCTCATCTCACTCTCAGCATTTACATGCGCGGCTGAGATTTTCCAGCCTATCCTTTATAATCATCCGTATGCAAATGAAATGGATCCTTCTGTTTACTCCCTCATATTGTTCATGTTTATCCGCCTGGGGACCTTTTGAGAGATCGAATGATTTCCTTAGACTCCTTCAATAGACTCTGCATGTAAATTTCACATATTTCCTAATGAATATTGATGATGTGCTTGAATTATACAATTCCCCATTGTTGTGAGTTTATTCCTCTGACAAAATGTTTCTTTACAGATGTTTTCCATCCTGCATAGCTTGTCATTTAAGACTGAAGCCATCTGTCTCTAATCAATGGCGTTCTGTCAATGTTTTCTTCCCTAAGTGCCATGCTGCATGTAATCACATGAAAATGGCCTGTTATTTTTCATACATGTCATGGGTTGAGCCCTAAATGTCAAATGAGCTGTGATTCATTAGTTTTATAGCGACATGTCTAGCCTGACCCTATGCAGCAGGTTTGTATTATGGAGACATGCATCTTTAGCTTGGATTGAAGTTATACAATCACATGCTAAATATAGCCTATATTCAGACACCTGAATAGATTTATTTTCATATGCTGAGATGTGAGTTTCTTATAGCAGAGGGAACTGAGCAAGTTTTATGCAACATAAAAGGGCTTTCATATAATTGTATGAAGTTGTACCTAAAATTAACCAACAAAGATACTTTTATTTGATATGATTTTACTTGTAAATGTCCCATATGCTGGATGTAATGTCATGGATGTCTGATTCTACAGGAAATGTGTTCCTGAAACACGGCTCGGAGCTACGAATCATTCCCAGAGATCGGGTTGGAGGAGGTCGCCGACCCAGGATTTGACTATCTGGCGTTTTTCTGTCACAGACAATAAACATACTTGCGTATTTATTGTCCAGCCCTGAGGTGTCAACTCTCAGCTACTCAGGCACTGCTATGGCTCCAAGTCTGTCAGAGGACCTCTCAAATCTCACAGAGCTGCCATCATTTCCCCCGTTTCCAACATATAAACACACTGGACATTGTCGTTTTTGCCCCAGAATTTCAAACCAGTAGGTATTTTGATCTTTCACAAAATGTTCCAGCTGTATAGTTTAAGATCACATACTTAATGTGTTTGTAATGCATATTTTTATAGTCAATTTAATGACTTAAATAGATCATGTTTGTCAAATGAATCACTTTTTCTTTACATTTGTTTTATGGTCCCATTGTTTTGAGCTCTGCATTGTTATTATAGGCAGATAATGACAATGTCACCGTGATGAAAGTCCATCAGTTGTGTATCTCTGTAACTATACAAACTATAGTATGGTTAAAGAAGCTCTAAATATAATAAACTGAGCAATTCACAATATACTTACTATGTAAAAAATAACTCCACCATAGTTATTAAAAATTGCAATGTTACATAAACCAAATTGATGTCAAAGCTGCTTTTTGTAGTTTTCTTGGTCACTCAATTCAGCGGCTGTGTGCCTTTTCATTAAGGCTTAAAATCGTGACTGACTTCAAGAGCTGAACAGTACATCAGGCTAATGAATGATAGGCCTCTACCTTTGCTTTTACACCCTCCACTTACCCTCCTCTTACATTATTGCCATGCGTAGGAGAAGGGTCTGACTATTCAGAGTCATAATGGATCTTTCGTTTGTTTTAATAAAAGCAGGCATGCTGTGCCCTTTCCATGCCAGTCATTACTGGGAAAAGGGGAGAAGTGCATTATAAATACAGCAAGGCCAACATTATTCAAACACAGACATGTTACTCTGGGTCACATTTGAAAAGACATCGCTTGTCTCCAGCCTCATTTGGCAGGAAATGATGCGGTTTGTTCATTAGCCGTGGAAGAAGCTGTCCTTTTACGAAACCGAATGAGGTTGCCCGTATAACAAATGTCAAACTGAAAAGTAAAAAAGTTACAAGTACACTTCTGAGTGTTCATGTCATAAACATTAAAGAAAGCATTTAATACCAAACTGTATAGTGCCTTTTTTTCTTTTCTTTTTTGTTAAATATTTTCTGCTTGTTGTTGTGCTACTAAGGATGTTTTGTCTTTTTAATTTGTTCACTTAAGGTAAACTTAAACCATGTTTCAAAGCTTTAAATGGATAAAACAGGCTTCAAAAGTCTCCTTTATGGTACAAAGACATGATGTTGCTATTTGCATAAATTCAATCCTGTGCCATCTGTAAGAGGCAAGCAAATGAGAGAACTGTTGAATATTTATGTTCGGTATCGGGTATTTTATATAGGTGTTTTATAGGGTTTAAACAAGGCATTACTTGGCAACCTTTTTATCAGAGCATAAAGTCTTGTGATGGCACAGATATGGGCCAGCTAAAACCTAGGAAATAGTTAAGTACTGGGGTCTTGTTTTCTAACCGTGTTTTCGCTCATATTTCTATAGAAACTTAATTTGAACATTTCTAAGAGGTTTGTGAGAGATTGAAAGCTCACACAAAGGCTGATGTCTGAATTGCTGTTGTCAAATAAGTATAATTTATCTCCTGAGTGGCTGAATGTTGTCCACATGTATTATAGATAAGCTATGGCTGCCTGTCACTCCTGCTTCTCACTCAATGTATCTTTCAAATGAAAAGATATGTGGCATGAATTTAGATATAGCTTGTGCATTCAACCGGCAGATTCGTTTTCCGGAGTTCACTGAAGTAATTAATTTGCTATATTTTTTCAAGCAAAGGAAATACTTGCTAGTGTACAGCAGCAAATTGGTTTGGCCTTTGAAAGAATGTTGTTTTGTGCTGTTCCGTTTTTCGTTCACAAAACTGGATTATATGTGTTCCTTTGTTATAACAAGGTTCAGGGAATATCAAAGAAATGCTTTTTTTTTCTGTCACTGCATAGTAATTTTTTTACTTTAAGAGACTGTAACATCATAATTGTCAAAAAATGCTTTCTGCAAAAACAAAGGTAGTGTAAACTGGAGGTACACTAAACCTACAATAAGAATTAAAGCAAAGTCGAAAATAAAGCCAGAAATAAAATCAAGATCGAAGACAAAAGAAAGATCAAAGAAAAAGAGGGCCAAAAAACAAAACAAGATCAAACAAAAACAAAACAAGAATCAAAGAAAATCCATCAAACAAAACTAAAATCAAAGTCATGACTGAAACAAAATAAACTCCTAACCAGAAACATTTTGAAAGTAAGTGCTTGATTTGGTTATTTATTGTTTGTTTGGTTTGATTGGATTATTATATTTCAAATCTCTACTGTAGCATTGTCTAACTTCACACATGCTACCACTAAATTTGCTCTTAACCCTTTAGCTGTCACCCCCCTTTTTGAGCGTTGACGTGAAAATGCACTACCCAAACTTAAACGGTTGTAATTCATGAAGCCTTTGTACTAAAGACTTACGGTTGGTCTCTTTTAAAAGAAGACTCTTGGCAGATTATTGCTGAAGTGGAATAAATTAATAGAATTAATTTTTTTTTAAAGTTATTGAAGTTTAAGTTTATTGTTATGAAAATATAATAACATATATATTTTTCTTTTATTAAAAATTAATATAGGTTTCAGCCTAAAAGTTACAGAAAGTCAAAGCCATATATCTAACCAAGTTGTGTTCCAAATTTGAAGTTGATATCACAAACATTGAAGTTCCCATGAGATTTTGTTTAGGCGTAATACCAAAAATACCCACCGGGTGCCATTGCATTCCATTGAATTTAATTGTATGCATTCTGCCATAACAAATTAATAGATTTCTATCCAAATATCACTTCTGACACTAAATATGGAACCTTGAGACTCAGACCTTTCTGACAATATGTGTTTTGTCAAGATTAGAACATTTTTGATAATAAATTATGAAAGATGATGCCCAAAAGGGGAGGGGCCTAATAATAAAAATACCGTTTCTATGGTAACGCAACGTCCAATTTCAAAACGGTTTTCATAGGATGAATTCTGAGTTCGTAAGCTTTCAAATGATACCTAATTTATGATAACTTCTAAAATATGTGATATAATAATAATAAAACATTATATATATATATATATATATATATATATATATTATACTTTTTAGAGGACTTTTTACTTTACTTTTTAAAATATAATTTGATCTTTTTTTATTGACAAATACTAGATTATGTTTTATTATGAACTTTTAGCATTAAAAACCAAAGTTTCAATTATTAAAATTGTGTGCGTCAACTTTTTGTGACAAAGGTCAGAAACTCATGTAATGACGTCGATTTTTTGAGGCGCACTCTTGTCATAAATTCATATATTACTGTTCATACATAATTTGTAAGAAAAAAACAGCGCTAAAATATCTATTAAGGAGTCTTAGACCTTTCCAACGATATATAGTTTGTCATGACTAGATTAGGATTTAATAGTAATATAGTGAAGTAAATTTAAGTTGCCCGTATACGGGCAGGTGAGAAAATAGCTAACTTTTATCTTGGAATTCTCTTTAAATTCTCTATTGCAGCATATTGTTTGAGAGGTCATCTTTAGATATGAGACCAGTCCCTCGCCCTTGCACCTCTCTTAATTTCTTGTTTCTTATTCAAGTGGTGTCTTGCCCTGCTTTAAATTCTATTAAATGAAATGTCATGCTGGCACGAGGTTGCACCTTCTTAAAGCTTCAGTTTCATTTTACACTTGATGTGACAGGAATGACTGAACAGGATATTAGCAGCGGTGCACGGAATCATCTGCGATTCCAACATGCGAAGAAATGTTGATTCAATGTAATATGTTGTGAAAATGTGTTTTTCATGATTGCATATTATTTGCTATAAAAAAGCATCTAGTCAGGCATCTCAATTTCATTCCATCATTACTTGAAATCCATATATATTAGAAATGTTTTATGACATTTGGCACTCATTTTTCAACAAACCAATCTGATATCCGGCTATAAGCAGTGGTAGAATATAGTCCCAGGGATGTTTACACATAAACAGCAATGTTAGACAAATCGACTAGGGAATGTAAAAACATCAGGCTGACATGGAAACACCTTTAGAAGGTTGGTCATAGATCAGCATGAAAAGCACATGCAGCTTGAGGCTAATGTCACAGTGAGCGTCTGGGTGCAGTGCTTGAAGAAAATGAAAAGCCTCAGACAGTTCAAGTGATGATAAAGCTCTTGGGTAGTAAAATGCCTCTGAAGGAATCGAAATATGTGTGTCTGGGAAAGCTAGACATACACAGACAATAAGATTTCTTTCCTCTTGAACCAACGCCTGGTGTTGGCACTGGTTTGGATTTCTCTGCATGAGCCACTGCAGTTAAAAATGTTTTCATAACCTAATCAGCAAAGAACATTTTTTGTTACCAGCTTCAGAACAAAGCATCAGAGAAAGGCTTTATAACTCCAATTTATGATAATTCAATCAACAAACACAATTAAGCTGGAATCTGATACAAATGAAGCTCGAAATATGAGACGGATGTAAGATAAAATCCTCAAAACCCATCAAATCCAGCGTTCTAATGATAATCGTTTTGATTCACTATTGTTTACCAAATGTTACAAGCATTTCAACCTAATCAGCTCCTTATAAATGTGTTATTTGATATCAGATTTGAAGAAGCACATTTTGTGCCTGCATACAAACAGCATGCGAACACTTATGAAAGCACCATTTGTGTTACTCTACAGCATGCGGCCCAATAATTAACCCCCGTCCCTCTCTCCCTCTCTTTCTCACGCCACTCCTCCTTCCCTGCTTTCTTCCCATTACCGTGGACAGGAAAAGTATGATGTGGCGGCACCAATTATAACAGCCTATTTTCTTGGCTGCACAGAGAGCAAAAGCGTGAGGTTGAAAGTTGGCACTACAAAACATCAGCAAGGCTCTCCAAAAAAGCCAGATTAGAGCGGTCAGCTTTTGTCAGCCTCATTAAAGGATTAGTTCACTTTTAAAAAAACTTTTGCTGACAATTTACTCACCCCCATGTCATCCAAGATGTCCATGTCTTTCTTTGTTCAGTCGAAAAGAAATTAAAGTTTTTGATGAAAACATTCCAGGATTTTTCTCCATATAATGCACTTTGCTGGGCACCAAACGGTTCAAGGTCCAAAAGACAGTTTCAGTGCAAACTGCAAACTGTTCAAATGGCTTTAAACGACACCAGACGATGAATATCAAGCGAAAAGATCGCTCATTTAATTTTTTTTTTTTACAAATTTTAAGTTTTATAAGCTCAAATGCTCGCCTTGCTCTGTTCTGTGTGACTCTCCTGTTCGAACTCGTTCATCAAAATGAACGAATCTTTTTCCGAGTCATTTCGTTCATTTTGTTCGTTAAATGAACCAAATGACTCGAAAAAAGATTTGTTCATTTTGATGAACGAGTTCGAACAGGAGAGTCACAAACGTGTATCACAGAACAGAGCAAGGCGAGCATTTGACATTATTAAACTTAAACTTTGTTATTTATTTTTAAAATGACCGATCGTTTCGCTTGATAAGACCATTATTTATCGTCTGGAATCGTTTAAAGCCCTTTGAACAGTTTGCAGTTTGCACTGAAACTGTCTTTTGGACCTTGAACCGTTTGGTGCCCAGCAAAGTGCATTATATGGAGAAAAATCCTGGAATGTTTTCATCAAAAACCTTCATTTCTTTTTGACTGAAGAAAGAAAGACATGGACATATTGGATGACATGGGGGTGAGTAAATTATCAGCAAAAGTTTTTTTAAAAGTGAACTAATCCTTTAATGACCATCTCACTCCGCAGCCACTGATGGATAACTGTCCATAAAAGCATTTTGGAAAACCACAGATCAAACTGCTATGCAGATGAAGTACTTTGTGTGTGTACAGAAAGATTAAATTATGGCTTGTGTAGTGATTTGCGTGCATGTTTGATCGGTTTGATCCTCTCTGAGACCCGAGCAAAGAATTCATTTCAGTGTTTAGCTGTTGTTAATATTGGGATCTTTGATTAGAAAGTCAAAGGGCCTCATAATAAATCTGACAGAGGCTTG